AGTAGATGAAAAACATGATAACAAGGGAAGCAAAACCATTCAGCTGTTTAATTGGTCCAGGGATCACTTTTAATGAATAAGAATGAAAACAAACACTTGCGCTTGACAACCTATTAAGATAATGAAACTCCTTTGTTTTGATTTGTATATTTAAGGCCTCATACATACTTTGTTCCTTCATTTCGTAAGATTAAATTTATTTGAACATGACCTGAGACTTTCACAGGTATGCATTTCTAAAAATAATCCACTTCCTTTTCTGCTTATTGTTTTGAATCAGACTTTCCAGAGATTTTTGTGTAGGTTTAAATTTAGGGAACTTTCTTCAACAACTTTTAATTTAAACATGAATTCAAGCTGTTGTCTTAAGTATAACTTGTTCTTTCTTCTTTTCTGGTTTATTTTTTTTTTCCTCCAGTTGCTGGTCTTCTAAAATGAACGTGACTGAGTCAGTAACACTGTTCATCATTGAGGGATTCAAAGACAGACATTTGATTCTATTTACTGTTTTCCTCACAATGTATGTTCTTATTCTGGGGGGAAACAGTATGATTATATATCTGGTCAGAACAGACTCCAAACTGAAATCGCCCATGTACTTTTTCCTCCACAATCTGTCTTTTAGTGACATGATCTATACAACAGTGACCATCCCAAGCATGCTTTCGGGATTCCTAGTTGAAGTCAAGACCATTTCTAAAGTAGGCTGCTTTGTGCAAATGATTTTTTTCCTCTCGATGGCTTTAACAGGACGTGCTTTGTTGACAGTGATGGCTTTTGACCGATACTTAGCCATCTGCCATCCTTTGCGCTACACATCAATCATGACCAGGAGGATTCGTTATCTGCTCATAATTTTAGCATGGCTCTTTGGATGGACTCTTACTGTTCCAGCCATCTCTTTGGCTTTGCCGCTGCCCTTCTGCGGACCCAACATAGTTAAGCACATCTTCTGTGATCATACCTCAGTCGTGCGCCTGGCTTGCACTGACACTACAAGGAACAGCATAGTATCACTAACCTTTGCTTTATTTGGCATTATTTCTACCTTCCTGCTGATTCTGGCGTCTTATATTTGCATTGGAAAAGCCATCAGCAAAATGGGCTCAGCTGAGAGACTGAAAGCTGCTGCTACTTGTGTGTCTCACCTTATTGTAGTCTGCATCTCCTATGTGTCTGCGTCCTGTGTGTACATATCCTACAGAGTGGCCACGTTTGACCCAGATGTGCGTTTGATTATTGCTGTGCTTTACTCTGTGCTGACGCCCCTCCTGAACCCCTTCATTTACAGCTTGAGGAATAAAGAGCTGCAGGATGCGCTGAAGAGAGCCTTCTGCAGATACAGCACAGCTTCTCATGCAGTCAGGAAAACTGTGCCCTCTATATCATCATGAAATACATATAACAAATGTCTAATGTGGATTCCATATGTCTTGTTTCCATTCGGCTGTCCTGTACTGGTTTCTCTGATTCTCAGATGGTTCTGAGATTAACCTCTATTAGTACGGTAAAATTCTGAATTTTCGCATTCTCAAAAACACAGCAGACTGCATCATGTCAAATGTATTGTAAACCACTGAAAATACTGGCAAGCAAACCATGAATTAAAAAAGAGAAGCAACATTTTATTCTAATGGTCCACTGTAGATGCTTCATAGATATTCACCTGTCTAAACTATGCTAACACTGTTATCAAATTAAATGTCTAATAAATGCATCTGAACATGAAGTATGTAATACATTCTATTAAATCCCAAACCTAAACCCAAAATCTAAATGTCAACCTAGCACAGTCTGGTAACAATTAAGTAATCTGTAGATGATGTGTAGGGGTCTATAAAAATAAAGTGTGATTGAAAGAGGAAATAAGGAATTTTTGTCTTAACACAAGAATTTATGGATGTCAGAATTTACTTTCCATTCCCAAACACCAACACTCATCAGATTGAATTGGTTTTAATGCAAACTCTGTGATAACAAGACTCAGAATGTACTTCTGATTTGTCACTACAGGAACTGAATTGTGGTTAGATCTTAATTTTCTGTTAGATATTGTTTTACATACAATAGTTAAGAGTAAAGAGAGTGACTAGAAACATTCTATTACTATTTGGTGCATTTTTCATTATTTGTGCTTCATATGTTTATGCAATTATTGGAAATATCAATTGCTCAACATTAAAATATATATATTGCATACTATACCTCTGACTATAGGTCTACTATATTTATGTGACATCTTATTTCTTTAATGTATATGTTTGAATTGTGAGTAGGATGTGATGCAGCATCAGTAGTTAACTTGTGCTTTTCAAATATTCAATTGTAATTGGAATATCTGAACATAAAACCACCTTTTACAGATTCTGATCTGCTACATGAAAAATTGTGCTAAAGTTATATACAATCAGTAATCATTTTTTAATGTGATGATTTTCAGTACCTCTTCCACAACTGGGTAGACCTGACTGGCTTCACACAGGCAAATATTAAACATTCTATAACATGTTAACATAGGTAACTATAGCAGCGCAGTGTTAAGGGAAAAATCCTCAGTTTGGCAAGATAAGCCCAAGCTAGGCCAATACCTTATAGTCAAAGTGAAACTTTACAGAAAGCCAGTGTAAACTGCCACAAAACACCGGAGTAACATGTGCTGAATTCCTTTATTTGGTCAGCACATGGGCTACCACAGTCTGAACTATAGTTGGGGCCCATTTAGAGATATGGCAGGGCAACCACTCAGTAACAGTAGTCTAATCTAGAATTTATGAAAACAAGAACTGATTTCATTAATAATATGTTTAATTTTCCCTGTTTCATAAGTGGGATTACACAGTCTTGAGATGTTACAGAGTTGTAATTTAGATGGGATTCAAACATTATCAATGTTATCATGTAGCTTTTGATTGCACAGAAAAAAAAACATTAAGGCCAAGGATACAATCTGCAACCATATTTTGAGCAGCAATACTTCCAAATCAAAAATTAAAAGCAGGATGTTTCTGGTCATCCATACTTTTATGTCTGTAATACAATCTTCCATTTTGTGTAACTGAGAGAATCTGGCTGAACTTATAACCATGCATCATCAGCATAAAAGTAAAAGCCATGTATGTGAATTATGTGTCCAAGGAGCTATAATTTTAGGAAGAAGAGTAAGGAACCTAAAATAGAGCCTTGCGGTACACCACATTGCACTGTTTTTGGTTCTGAAGACCTCCCCATTAACACTAACAAATTAATAGTCATCTGTCAAGAGCAGTAGTCTCCAACACTGGTCCTGGAGAGCTACCTTCCTGCAGAGTTTAGTACCACCTTGTGTCCAATAAGCTGCCTCGCCACTTACTTAACTGTAATACATCTGATCCCACCAATCAAGGACTTGCAAAGAGGTTGACTAGCTGAAGCACGTGTTGCAAATTGTGGTTGGAACTAGCATCTATGGGAAGGTAGCTCTACAGGATGAGAGTTGGAGACCACTGATCAACAAAGACTCCTTAATCAAGCAAAAACATATATAAATTGAGCATATTTTCAAGCATCTCCATTAATATATCATAGTCTCTAACAACAAATACTGCAATCAAATCCAACAATACTAGTGAGATATTGTCAAAATTTGAGGCAGCAAGTAAGTCCTTGAACTCTCAGCCAGCACTGACTCTGTATTATGATGTTTTCAATACAGAACTGGAATAATTCATGTTGGTTAATCCCGGTGGAACTGAACTCTTCTACAGGTTCTTGGAAAATGTGGCCTCTGGACTGTTTATAATCTGAAACTACAGCAGCATATAGTGGATTATATATAGTCAGTTGCTTAATGATGGTTTCTGACTTGCTTTTGAGTTTTGAGAAATTACTCCTGCTGAAGGCTGGAGGAATCCAAACATCATAAATACCCCAGCCATTTGTTATTCTAGGTACAATTATAAATAATAGAAGAATCTTGTGTTCTTATTATTTTATATTAAATTAGAAGAAGAGGCAGGCCTGCTAGTGAAGAACTGAAGACCCCCAGCTTGTTTTTTCAGCATCTTCTCTCACACTGTCTAAAAATTTTTGTTCGAGCACGTGTTTAACACACCATGCAACAACTCTAATAATTATTGTTTTGATATGAAAAAATGATTCTACAATGTCTAAGGAAGACCTTAATAATGTATTTAATCCATAAGACCTTTGGTCAAGCTAATTCACAAGGCACACCCCACTATTCATGCAGGTTTGGAAATCTTTGTATGGTGCAGATGGCGTAAGCATGGACTTCCTGCAATATGTCAGTGTTACCATCACATAAATCAGTGACGTTGGGTTTTGTCATCAGCAGTGAACTTGTTAATAACTGGAAGTTCTTTTTTAGATTAAGGTTCACCTCTCAGATTAAGATGAAATAACTTTGATGTGTGAGATTTGAACATTAGGGACATTAGGGATTTAATCAGTCTCAAAATATTGGTTAAATACCTAGACCACCATGAAAATTAAGGTCCATATAGACTGGCTGCACCTAGGCAGGTTTTCTGTTCATAGAGTTGGCGTTGCCACTCAACAGTGCCTTCATTTGTTGCTCCAGAGTCACTAGACCTATAATTAGCAGTTGAATCTTCCCAGTCCTTCACTAACAACATTGGCACCCAACATGGCCTTTTGCTGTTGTACCTCACTTGAAACAAAGTGAAATAAGTTGTACATTCTATAGTGGCATTCTGCACACCAGTATTGATTTTGGATGTGATTTGCCTGGTCGTGGGTCATTTGTTCTGACTTGCGTTTGTTCTGACTTGCTTTTCTCTTTTGACTACTTTGATCTGTAAGCTTTTTTTTCCCATAGGATCCCTGATCAGTGTTATTTTTTCCTTTTGACAACATGTTCTCATTTTTATTTTTAAACAGTTTTTTCTTTAGGCTGTTTAGGACTATTTAATAGGCACGCAAGGTAACAAGTCTTGTTACTCAGCCCAGCCAAGAACAGCCTAGTTTGACTGACTTGCAAAATGGCCTACTGTTTTTGTGGGTGTGAAATGTTGAGGCAGGCAATTGGTTTGATGGACCATTGTGCTATAACAAAAAAAAGCAGCTGTTTATTATGTTGATTATGTGTTGAAACATGTTTATTAACCATGTTCATTAAACATCATTACGCAAACAGAAGTCCTGGACACCATGACTAGCACCAACATTTCCTAGTGGATGTATATTGTCTCCATCTGTCCTGTTGTCTTTTGCTTCCACCCCTCCAGGACCATGGTTCCCCACAAATGTAGTTTCATTCAGCTTGGACAGTTTCCTGTAGAACAAAGACATAAAGTGTGATTGATGCATCATTTTTTTCAATGAAGACTAGTTCAGTGCTAATAGTGCCCCTTTTTCAGCCTACTAGATGTGAGTGAGTGAGCCAGGTGTATAAAGTGCTTTGCATCTAAAATGAACATGGATAAAGTTTAGGTGAATTGTCTGTGTCTTTGATTGGATCTCATTTCTAGAACAGGGGTCCTGCATGGCCAGAGCATATGCAGTCTACGGGCCAGAGCCCAACACAGCTTGGCAATTTTCCTGCTCTAACATACATACAAAACCTGCTAATTGTTATTATTTAATCAGAAATCAAAAAACAGGAAAATCATCAAACTGTGCTGGACACCAGCTCTCCAGGACTGGAAATCAATATCACTGTTCTAGACAGAAACACATTATTGATGACACTAACATCACTTAGATAAAGTTAGGATTATACAAATAAAATTAAATTCTGTTAAGATGATAGAAATTAAGTATTTATCTGTTTCTGTCACTTTAACAAATTACACAAAGTTGTTGTCTGTTCATAGAACTATATATCAGACATCTGATTCCCATCTTACTGTCCATTTCCTCACTGACTGTGCAAATAGCTGAAAACACTGCTGCAAACTGTTTTCCAAGAGGAAGGACCAAAATATTTTTTTTTGAGTATTTTCAAAATATGAAAATAAGGAACTATGAGATTTCCTTTCAGTGTCATTAACAAAATAACACTTTGTATCACATATCATATCAAAATACTGCTCAAACCTGTAAGTATATTTGTCAGTGCACCATGGGTTCCGTGAAAGCAGGTGTTTTCTTTAGCTTACAGTTATATAGATAATTAAACATCTATTGTCCTTGTCAAATACAGGCAAGTAATAATACCTCTGTTGTGCCTCGGCTAAGTCTGCTCCACAAATCTTTCACTAATCTGAGACTTGTTTATCAACTCTGAGGTGATGTTTTGAACTATGCAGTTGACAGCAAAACTACCAAGGGACTCTGCTGTTGTTGTTACTAATATTATTGTACCAGTCAATGGGGTCATGTCAGAAAGCACCAGGAGATACTGCTACAGTATATATTTTGCAGAGATCACCTCAGTGGTAGTGCCTATTCTTGATTCTCAAGTTAAGGAAGGCTGCGCATGCTGTGCATTTGATCATATAAGGTGTTACACAACGAAGATATTAATATATAATTACTGTTTAATCTCTGATCTGATGGAACAGTTGTTAAAATCAACATCTAAATCTTTTACAGTTTTAAAGAGCAATAATAGCAGAAAAATAGTAATGTTTAATCCAAATTCAACATCAACCTCAATTCAACTTGTTTTGTTAAAAGATACTGTTAAAAGATGTATATGTGTATTTTACAGATAAACGATGTGAAATTTTGAGTCGTAATCGTGTGCTTTGCAATCAAAAATGAAAACTGATTTGCACTGACAATATAATGTTCATTTTCCTCATTTTGTTCTACAGGTTTGCAAGAGTGATGGAAAACAGAACAGATACAAACCAAATTCTTAAGATTGAAGGACTGAGGGTCACGTATCAATCTGCTTATCCAGTGTTTATTCTTCTTTTGTTAGTGTACCTTTTCATAATGGTATCCAACATTGGGCTTATTGCCCTGATATCGGTGGAGAAAGCTTTGCACAAACCCATGTACCTCTTTTTCTGTAACCTTCCTCTGAATGATGTACTTGGTACTACTGTAGTGGTGCCTGCTTTGCTCAAAGACATTTTTAGAGAAGAATCAGACAGGTATATCAGCTATGTCGCTTGTGTGATTCAAGCTTATGGTATTCACATGTTTAGTACAAGTGCACACACCATATTAATGATAATGGCTTTTGACAGGTATGTGGCCATATGCAACCCCTTAAGATACAACAGTATAATGACCAACAAAATGGTTGTTAAACTGACTGCATTAGCATGGGTAATAGCCATCGTACCAGTTGGAATTGTTTTGGGCCTCAGTATCAGACTATCACACTGTAGTTCAACTATTTCAAATCCGTTCTGTGACAACGCTTCTCTTTTTAAACTGTCTTGCGAGAACCTGTTAGTTAATCAGGTTGTCGGCTTGTTTACCTCTGTTGCGCTCTGGGGCACATCAATGTCATGCATTGCTCTCACTTACCTAAAAATTGCTGTTGTGTGTGTAAAGAGTGGAAACAGTGCTCTGCAGAGTAAGGCTATGAAAACGTGCAGCACGCATCTGATCGTGTACCTCATTATCCTTGGATGTGGAATGACTGCAATCATTCTGCATCGTTTCCCTGCTTATGCAGAACTTGGAAAAGTGGCCAGTGTTTTGTTTTATGTTATTCCTTGTGCTCTTAACCCCATCATATACGGACTTCAAACCAAAGAAATAAGGCAGTGGCTTCAGCAGATTCCTTGGAAAAGGAAAGTGATTCCAGAATGACTTAATTAATTGAATTAATTGAATATGCATTGTCTATTTACATGCAGTGTGTGAATGCAGTGTTACAAAAACGATTTTAAACAGCCAAGTACAAACGGCAATATTTATCTTTTAATGTATTATCTTTTATGTACACAGACATTGCATAGGCAGACAGTTTTAAGTCTCACATTACATGACAGGTTGTCTTTGGGGATGTAATGACCAGGTAAAGAAGGAAACCTAATGTAGGTAGTGGAGGCAGTATGTGTTAATAAACTAGTAATGTAAGCAGCAAGATTATTATTATTTTTCATATGGACAAAATGTACAGAGACAGGGAGATATAAAGCCTAGTATATTATAATACATGACTACCAAGTGCAGAAAATGTGTCCCATTTGCCTAGTTGGTGGCTTCTTTTAGAGCGGTTTCATTTTACCAGATTAAATGAGATAAAGTATTATTTTGTCCGTCTCTATTTATTTTTGGATAAATATTAACAAAGCCATATATTGTCTGATCAGTTGAGTTAATATACAAATTTCATGCTGTATGTATAAAAAGTCTAAAATATATATCTTGTCTAATGAAACAAACTTTAAGATATTTACAATGTATTAAAATCTGATCACAAAATATATGATGAATGATCATTTAAAAGGTTTAAGTTTCACTTTTATTGCACTTAACACACTGTTATTAAATGATTGACCATTTATGATTAAATAGAACTCCCATCATCTTTGTCATCATGCAGTCCATGTAGTAATTGTAAATCATAAAGTCAATCATTTGTAAAAGCTCTATTAAAAGTGTAAATTATATTTTATATTTTTCAATTCATAGTGCAAACCCATGAAACCTGTATTATTTTAATTTGTTCCCTAACCAAACTACCACTTGCTTATTCATCTATTTATTTATTTATTTATTTATTTATTTATTTTACATTTTACAAAATGTTCTTCATTTTTTGTGATAGTTTGTTTTCATAATAATCATAGTGGAAACAGTAGAATGTCCCATGGCAAGGTCAACCAGTTCTTCAAGTTTCAGTGCAACAAAGAGGACTTACAAACTTACAAAGAGGACTTCTCAGGGGTGTCTAATTAAGTCCTGAAGGGTTGGAGCACAGTTGGTGATTTCCCTGCTCTAACACACCTACTACACCTGGCAATCAACTTCTGAGTTGAATCAGATGTGTGTGAGCAGTTTAATCACAAAACTGTGCTAGTCTAAGGCATCTCAGGCCTTTTATTTACCTTGAAATAATGCACCTGCAAGTTTTTTACTTTCATTCAAAAAAAATTATTAAAACCTCACACACAAAAAAAAACATGATTTGGTTTTCAAACATGACCGTCTTTTTCTCAAAGTAAGTTTCTAAAGCCATACTGATACAACAAGGGACACATCAACAACACATTAAAAGATAATATATCTGAGATTCTATGAGATAATATGAGATTCCAGTGCAGTTCCAATTATGTATCACATTCACTTGCTGAGTCATTATCTGAACATAAGGTTAGAGTTAGTATAGACAATTAATAGCATGATACAGCACAGAATTTAAGAACCTAGTGCTGCCTATTGCCCCTAAGATGGAAAAGACTGAGAGCCACATGACAATAGCTTTTAGTGAGGTCAAGCATGGAGACAAACTGGGCCTTCACAAGCCTAAGTTAACCTCTCTGGATAGGTGGTAAGAGTTGAAGACTGAGACCTCAGTCAGGGCAAAAGCTCATATAAGTGGTTGAAGCACAGAAAAAATGAATGTGATAATTTTAATGTAATAATTTAAAATAACAGCCTAAGGGCCTCCTGCCTGGTCTCCCAGCTAAAATCTCCTGTGTTGAACCAGCCTGTTGTACCGGTATAGAGGGATAGGCACACTGTTGTACCTCTTGGGCCTCCTCCATATGTTCCTTTGCCAGCGGGACCACCTGGTCAACCAGTCTTATATGTCCTAAACATATTCAGTGACAAGTCTAAAGGGGGTTTACTGCTGTTTCCAGACCAATGCAATGCAAATAAGACAATACCTGTTACACATTTTTGAGTTAAAATGAGGTACTCTCAAACTTCAACAGAGTTTTTGTGAATTGATAAATGCTATCAATTTAATTTGACTTTTTTGGTGTTTCGAAAGTCTACTTTAATTCAAAGGTTTTATGCTTTTGCAACCATGTCGATCTTAAAACTTAAAAGTGACAAACAGCGGCAGCAGCTTCCTGCTCTAAAGTGGAATCACTTGCATTATTCAATATTTATTGTTCTTTTTTCAATGGTAATTTATGCAATAAGGATATGCAAACATAAATAATGCAACAAGTATTTTTAGATGCTTCACATCATTAGATATTTCAAGTACTGAAGGAGAAATAATAAGCTATAATGAGCTATTGTGATTATTCCGATTTTTGTAGTATCCACCTCAAGATTTGATCATGATCACTACTTATTCTCAATGTTATGTAGCTTTCTCTGTCATTTTGGAGTCATATACAGCACTGTTCACCATGCAGAACTCTAATATTTCCTAATGTTTTGTATTTCATTATTTGTGACCTACAATGTTGCATAAAACTACAAGATCATACTGGAACAACATGTACATGCAGCAAAATTGGCTTTATATTATTGGAAACACTGAATCCAACTTTTGAGTGGTAGTGTATGTAAGTCTAAATACAGAATTGCATTTATCAGACATGCTAAATATTAATCTTAAATTATTTTGCAGGTTAAAAGATATACTTTGATATTAAAATCTCTTTTAAAAATCAAACTGATACAAAATAAATACCAGACTCACTAAGCTCACAAAGAAAGGCCTCCACAAAACAGCAGGGAAAACAACTGTCAAAAGTTAAGTTTAATTCAGCATTGACCAGCACCTCAGCCATGCAACATTATATAAACTACACAGTGAAAAAGGATTGAAAGATGAGTACAGATAAAATGGTTATGTAGTTAATAAATACTTGATACCATAGAGTGGACAATGCAAATTCTCATCAGGTCTCATTTTGGAGTTTGATTAGTACTTTTTGATCTAAGAGAAAAACATGTTTTAGATAAATCACTACCTTTTCATTAACACACATTCAGTTGGAAAACCGGAACAGTTGATTCAATGACATTAACACACAATAATTAAAAAAAATCCTCCATTTTCACCCAAGTGAGGTGTAGCAGTGAGTCAACAATCAGTCTAGAAATTGATTGAGTAGTATATTTATGAGCCACAGAATTTTTCCATCTATACATATTAACATGTGAAAGTAATAACAGCTCAGCTACATTTACAGTATGTTATTGTGAAACTCTTTCCTCTGATTCTTCAGAGATGGACTCTGGTTGAGCTTCTCTCTCCAGCTGTGGGTCAGTCCTCTTGCCAAGGACTGTTTTAGGAAATGAGGAAGGCAGTCAGTCCAGTGAGAAATGGGCTGATTCCAGTATGACTCTCCCTGGCTTAGCTCAACTGTAAACCCAGAAAGACGCAACAACATTTGATAGTACATTTTTGTAACCATGATGTCATGATGATATAGAGGGCACAGTTTTCCTGACTGCATGAGAGGCCGCGCTGTATCTGCAGAAGGCTCTCTTCAGCGCATCCTGCAGCTCTTTATTCCTCAAGCTGTAAATGAAGGGGTTCAGGAGGGGCGTCAGCACAGAGTAAAGCACAGCAATAATCAAACGCACGTCTGGGTCAAACGTGGCCACTCTGTAGGAGATGTACACACAGGACGCAGACACATAGGAGATGCAGACTACAATAAGGTGAGACACACAAGTAGCAGCAGCTTTCAGTCTCTCGGCTGAGCCCATTTTGCTGATGGCTTTCCCAATGCAAATATAAGACGCCAGAATCAGCAGGAAGGTAGAAATAATGCCAAATAAAGCAAAGGTTAGTGATACTATGCTGTTCCTTGTAGTGTCAGTGCAAGCCAGGCGCACGACTGAGGTATGATCACAGAAGATGTGCTTAACTATGTTGGGCCCGCAGAAGGGCAGCGGCAAAGCTAAGATCAGGGCAGAAAAAGGAATAAACCACCCAAACAGCCATGCTAAAAATATGAGCAGATAACGAATCCTCCTGGTCATGATTGATGCGTAGCGCAAAGGATGGCAGATGGCTAAGTATCGGTCAAAAGCCATCACTGTCAGCAAACCACGTCCTACTACAGTCATAGAGAGGAAGATATACATCTGCGCAAAGCAGCCCATTTTGGAAATGGTCTTGACATCGACTAGAAATCCCGAAAGCATGTTTGGGATACTGGTTGATGTATAGATCATATCACAGAAGGATAGATGGTGGAGGAAAAAGTACATGGGCGAGTTTAATTTGGGGTCTGTTCTGACCAGATATATAATCATACTGTTTCCCCCTAAAATGAGTACATATATTGTAAGGAAAATAGCAAATAGAATCATGTATTTATCTTTCAGTCCCTCAATGATGAAAAACGTTACTGGCTCAGTCATGTTCATTTTGGTGAATCAGGAACTGGAGCTCTGCCTCTGACAAGGAAAAGCAAAAAGGATAATTAAGTGGCATGTATTATATTAATATGGTTGTAAGGAAGGTCTGTCATGTATACTACAATCAAAGAAGTCATTACTGTATTTATTGCTTACACACATTTGTATGAAGTTTCTAAATTTGTAGTGAAATTGTTTATCTGTTTATCATAGTCCACTTAATAAATTATAAAGGATGAGTAAAAGCAATAAATGCAGTAATAAGTAATGAAAGCAGTCTTACCTAAACCTTTTCCTCAATAACACCTTGTTCACACTCTGCTTTTTGGCTGAAATCTATGAAAAGGTTTAAATAAAAAAGGACAAGACACTTTATATTTCTGCTGAAATGTAATGATTAAGTTGCTCCAGACTCACTACACCTGTGAAAACATCTCACCTTAATTCATGCCTTCAATTCATGTTCAAAAACAAGCGTACAGCGTATTAGTATGAGTCTTAAATAGACTATTTCCAGTGGCATGAGTTTAATTTCCTTAATTGGCAGGTTTGTTTGTTTTCATTCATATCAATTAAAAGCTTCCTATGGACCAATTAAAATATCAGTGTTTCTTTGTTCCCTGGGTTACTCTGTTTTTCATCTGCTCAAACATAGATAATTACAGAAGCTTAATCAGCCCTATTGGATTTGGAACCTTAATTACTTAAACATTGTAGTTATTTTGGAAAAACTGAGATACCTGTTCTATTATATTCTACAATATTCTTAATGAACTGTGATTATTTTTTCCTCTCTTTATTAGGATGGTTTAGTCAAAAGTGCTGGTCGTATTATTTTTAAAGTTTTATTGCTCTATTATTACCTTAATACATTTCCAGCTTCTGTTTATGTTGAGCTGTTTCTGCATAGCATCAGTTAAATTAAGGGTTTATTCAGGTTTATTAGCAGCTGTCATCCTCATTAAATTGGTGGTCATGCAGTCATTGATATATGTCGTCACTTTTACACAAAACATCTTCATTTTCGTTTTGCCCTTTGCATTGTGGTAACATTAACTTAATGAACAGGCCAGTGTACATGGTCCAAAATTAATTTGCAAAAATATTGTTCCATTAATTATGATTAAAGGTTAAGAATGTTTGTTCTTCTCCTGTAAAGTTTTGGAGATGCAGCAACAAAATATTAATTTAAACCCTGACAATGTAATTTCAACATTGAAAAAGACTCTAATGTCCAAATGTTATATATTAAAGTTATTTCACCTCAATCTGAGAGTTGAATCTTGACCTAAAAAGTCCATGCTTATGCCATCTGCACCATACAAAGATTTCTATACCTGCATATATAGTGGGGTGTGCCTTGTGAGACAGCTTGATCAAAGGTCTTATGGATTAAATACATTATTAAGGTCTTCCTTAGACACTGTAGAACCTTTTTTCATACCAAATCAATGATTATTAGAGTTGTTCCATGGTGTGTTAAACATGTGCCCTCAGACAAAAATCTTTAGACAGTGTGAGAGAAGATGCCAAAAAAATAAACCGGAGGTCTTCAGTTCTTCACTAACAGACCTGCTTCTTTTTCTAATTTGATAAAAAATAATAAGAACACACGATTGTTGCATTATTTAAAATAGTACCTAGAATAACAAATAACTGGGGAATTTATGATGTTTGGATTCCTCCAGCCTTCAGCAGGAGTAATTTCTCAAAACTCTAAAGCAAGTCAGAAACCATCATTAAGCAACAGACTATATATAATCCACTATATGCTGCTGTAGTTTCAGATTATAAACAGTCCAGAGGCCACATTTTCCAAGAACCTGTAGAAGAGTTCAGTTCCACCGGGATTAATGAGCTTCATAGCATGATGGTGTCTTGTAGATAAACCACATACATAGTTGACAGAGTATACTTCTACAGAAGTAACCAACTATTGGTTACCTCTAAAATTATTACTGTTGATTGAGGAACCTTTACTGAATATAATTAATTCATCACTCAGTCTGGACCCAACGCTTATCAAATTAGCCATTGTAAAAGCATTCCTTAACTAACCTAATCTTTTTAATGTTTGAGACTTTTGAGAAAGTTGCTGCACAACAGTTCTGTTCTTTTTTAAGTAACCAGCATGAATCATTCCAGTTCTGTACCAGGTGGAACTAAACTCTGCAGGAAGGTAGCTCTCCAGGACCAGGGTTGGAGATCACTATTCTTGACAGATGACTATTAATTTGTTAGTGTTAATGGGGAGGTCTTCAGAACCAAAAACAGTGCAATGTGGTGTACCGCAAGGCTCTATTTTAGGCCCCTTACTCTTCTTGCTAAAATTATAGCTCCTTGGACACATAATTCACATACATGGCTTTTACTTTTATGCTGATGATGCACAGTTATAAGTTCAGCCAGATTCTCTCAGTTACACAAAATGGAAGATTGTATTACAGACATGAAAGTGTTAACAGTCAGAAACTTCTTCATTTTAAATTTTGATTTGTATTGTTGCTCAAAATATGGTTGCAGATTGTATCCTTGGCCTTAATGTTTTTTTTTCTGTGCAGTCAAAAGCTACATGATTAGAGACATTGTATGAATTCCATCTAAATAACACCTCTGTAAATCTGTAACAACTGTGTAATCCCACGTATGAAACAGGGAAAATGAAACATATTATTAATGGAATTAGTTCATGTTTTCATAAATTCTAGATTAGACTACTGTTACTGAATGGTTGCCCTGCTGTATCTCTAAATGGGCCCCAACTATAGTTCAGACTGTGGTAGCCCATGTGCTGACCAGATAAAGAAATTCAGAACCTGTTACTCTGGTGTTTTGTGGCAGTTTACACTGGCTTTCTGTAAAGTTTCACTTTGACTACAATGTCCTGCTTATGAAAACCCTTAATGGCCTAGCTCTTGCCATCTTGCCTCACTCAGCTAAGGCAGGCTCCCTAGGATTGCTGATCTGATACTGCGTCTAAACTCTGCAAAAATGTACCAGAAAATATGAACAATGCAAGGTTGAGAGATGTTTTTAAATCTCTCTCTCTCTCTCTCTCTATATATATATATATATATATATATACATATATATATATAAAAACATATATATATATTTTGCACAGGCCAGTCCAGTGTCTAGTTTATTGTGTTGCCCAATGATTCTAATGTTTTATCTTTCCAATGTATATATATATATATATATATATATATATATATATATATATATATATATATATACCTATTTCATGATGAGGCAGAGGGACCCAGTGTGTGTGTGTGTGAAATTAAGGAACGAGGAATGTATGACACCTTAAATACACAAATCAAAGCAAAGGAGTTTCATTATCTTAATAGGTTGTCAAGCTGAAGTGTTTGTTTTCATTCATATTAATTAAAAGTGATCCCTGGACCAAAAACAGCTGAATGTTTTTGCTTCCCTTGTTATCGTGTTTTTCATCTACTCAGAGGGTAATTACAGAAGGATAATTTGAGTCATTAGATCTTAATTGCTTTGTTACTATCAGTGCCAGAGAACAGCTTGTTTAATCAACTTTTCCTACAGGTTTAATGTCTTTCATGTACTTTTTGAGATTACTAATGAGCATCCAGTTCCAAGATGTAGATACTGTGTGGTAGTTACTAGTTGTGGGTAGTAACTAGAGCCATGTAACTTTAGCAACCTTTGTTTGATTTGTACTTCTTGGATCATTTTTTTTTAAAAAAGTGCTTTTACTTACACTGAAGGATATTTGTAATTTCATTCTGTTCTGTTGGTTCAACACCTGGACTACTCGCAAAACATATTCCAAAACACCACAATAGGGAAGCATAGGATCTTAGGTACCTCTGCTGTTTACTGTTTTTCTTCTGAAATTGCCAAGTAGGTTAAAAATAACAATTTAATTATTCAGCTACTTAACTTTTCTTGTTAATTTTGCTGTGGCAATTTAGAAATTAATTAGTACTAATTAGATTTAGATCAGATTTTTTTTTATTTTATTTTCTCAATAACAGCTTCTTGACAGCCACACATCCTTTCAGATCCTTAGTGTTGAGTTGCCTTCTCACAGTGGAAGGATGGACAGAGTGGAGCTTGATTTTCTCCTCTCTCTTAAAGATAAAAGATTTAAGTGCTGTTTATCTGATAGTGACAGTTTTGATGGTCTTGTAGGTCTTGCATGGTTTTTAGGAGTCCCATTGTCTCTGTATCTCTGTAAATCGTCTGTTTTTTAATTTCGTATCCTTTGATAACTCCTTCCTTAAAAGAGTGGATTATTTTACATCTAATGAAGAACTTGCAAGTAATGACTGGAAATTAAATAAGTGAAAGGCAGTCTCTGACTTTACTGTACAGTTATAAAAAAAATTAAAGTGAAAATGTCTCCTAAAATAAGACCTGATGTTTATATACACTATATTGCCAAAAGTAGTCACTCGTCTGCCTTCACACACATATGAACTTGAGTGACATCCCATTCTTAATCCAAAGGGTTTAATATGATGTCAGCCCACCCTTTGCAGCTGTGACAGCTTCAACTCTTCTGGGAAGGCTTTCCACAAGGTTTAGGAATGTGTTTGTGGGAATTTTTGACAATTTTTCCAGAAGCGCATTTGTGAGGTCAGACACTGATGTTGGACGAGAAGGCCTGGCTCGCAGTCTCCACTCTAATTCATCCCAAAGGTGTTCTATCGGGTTGAGGTTAGGACTCCGTGCAGGCCAGTCAAGTTCTTCCACACCAAACTCGCTCATCCATGTCTTTATGGACCTTGCACAGTCATGTTGGAACAGGAAGGGGTCATCCCCAAACTGTCCCCACAAAGTTGGGAGCATGAAATTGTCCAAAATCTCTTGGTCTGCTGAAGCATTAAGAGTTCCTTTCATTGGAACTAAGGGGCCGAGCCCAACTCCTGAAAAACAACCCCACACCATAATCCCCCCTCCACCAAACTTTACACCTGGCACAATGCAGTCAGACAAGTACCGTTCTCCTGACAACCGCCAAACCC